TTTGCACCTGAGCAAAGGAAGAGAGAAACGTGCTTCCAACAAGCCCCCTGAGTGCAAACAACGCTCCCTGGAGGAAAGACACCTTAAGGAGGACACGCTCTGTGTTCAGTTCAGAAGTTTTGCAACATGAACAGGGACTATCGTGCTGAGTCCAAAAACAAAAGCAACTTCCCAAATCAAAACAGGCGATGATCTTAGAGAATCAGCGAAATCCGATTCTGGGGACCCAGACAAGCCGGGCTAGGAAGGCCGCCGGGCGGTGATGGTGGCCTGAGGACGCTGTACGCGGAAGGACAGGCGGGAAAACTTCGAAGAAAAGCAAGGACAACTGGAAGCTGTGGACAGGAGTGTGAGGACCAGGGGAGGGGAGAGGGAGGGAACTTGAACTTGGGGCCCAGAGCTCTGCCCTGAGAACAGTGCAGACCGACGGGGAACACGGGGAACCTGGAGCAGCTCGCTCCACCTCCTTCACGGGTGGGGAAACTGAGGCCAGAGAGGGCCAGCAGCCTCTGCAGAAGCACAGGGATGCAGCCGGTCCTGTGGCTCATGTCCACGGAGCCCCCCTCTGTGCCAGGGACCCAGCCCTGGAGCAGAGTCCGGTTAGGGAGGCCTCCTGGGAAAAGGGAGTGAAGTTTCCCTCTGGAAGGACCGGGGCACCCTGTGGGCAGGGTGGCTGGGGGCCCAGAGGCAGTAATTAATGTCCTCATGGGAGAAGGCATTTCCCAGTCTGCAGAACTCAGCTGGAAACGGGGAGTTCGGAAAACTCTGCAGCGGCCACTGTGCCCCCCTTCGATCGATGCCCTGCTCGGTGTCAGTAGAGACCCAGCTCACAGTGTGCCGTGGAGACAAGCTGATTGTCCCCATCACACAAAAGAGGGACTTGAGGCTCCGAGGCCCAGTCTGCTCCGAGGGCGGGAGTTGAGCCCCGCTTTATCTAATATAAGCCAAACGGACACACTGTTTACCAGCCAGGGAGAGGGCCAACGAGGTCTCTTTGTTATGGAAACATCCAAGAAGTCCTCAAACAACCCAACACAGGGAAAAGCAGGAACCCTTGAAGCCCTTTCGCAGAGGCCCCGCCATCCCAGGGGTGGCGGTTGAGAGGAAGCTGCCCCCACCTGCTCCGTTTGCTTGCCAGTGTCAGCTTAAGACACATTCAAACCTAGAGAGAATTTTTTGAGTTTATTTGAGCCAAACTGTTGACAACGGCCGGGAAGCAGAATCTCCGCGAATTGAGCTAACGCTCCAGAGAACGGCAGTTCTGCACTTTGTCTCGTGCATTACAATCAAAAGAGGAGGCGCAGTTACACGAATCCACGGGCGGCAGGTCAGGGAGGCTGGAGGAAGCGAGGGGCACCTCCGGGGTTGGAAAAAGGTAAAACGGCAGCCACACACTCCTTTCACGCTCTTGGTTTAATCCGATAACAAGAGCAATGGGGGAATGTGTGGTCTCTGCTCTGGGGCTGTGAGGAGAAAAGGAAATTACCCTGACACTCCAAAGGTGTGTTATCTCGGATGCAAGAAGACAATGGACAGGCCCAGTGAAGTTCCCTTGGTCAGGGAAGGTAGCTGACCGGGACGTGACTACCCGCCGGACTCACTGATGTTAGAAAGTTTTCATTTCGGATCATCCCACGTGGTTATTTTAAGCCTGAATCTGTGAGGCCACCCTGCAGGCCTCCCTTGAGCTTGTCAGGTTTAGTGTGTGGCCCCTTCTGAGCCTACCCCAGGCTGCCAGTCCCGGGTAAAGGTGACCTGGGACCGGCTCGGACAATCCAGGCTCAGGGAAATTTACATCTGGCATCTTCTCTGCAAACCTCCCGCCGGGAAGCTGCTGCGGCCGGCCGAGGAGCTGAGATTCCCGGCCTGTTAGAAGGGTAATTAAACACACCAGGAAGGAAAAGGTGTTCCAACGAAACTCCCAGAACAAGTCGATCTTCCTGCCTCCCTCAGCCCCTGAAGGGATCCTTTTACAACGGAAAACCAGGTTCCCATCCAAGTCCCTCCCCTCTGCCCCCAGGCCCTTCCCTTCAGCCTCCCTCCTGCTGCTCCCAGCTCTGGACCAGCCCAGCATGATCTCACCTCAGGGCCTTTGAACCTGCCGGTTCCCACCCTGGACTCCTATTGGCCAGATCTCCCTTCATTCCACTCTCCACCCCTCCCCCTCGTTAATTTTTATAGGGCATTTACCACCACTCGATGCTGTCGTGGGTGTTTCTGCGCTGGTTTATTTAGGCTCTTCGATGTTGTTCGAATGTAGATAACATGCACTTATACTCAGGGTGCCTGTGGGTTGGGTTATCAGGGTTATGCAACACAGCGAAAAAAACGCTAGGCCTCCCTCACTCCATCCTGTCCCAGCCTGCTCTGTTCCCAGGGCCTGCAGGCTAGCAGCTTCTTGCCTATAGACACACCAGCCCTTAGAGGAGTTCTGCCTGAGGCTTGAGTTTTACAAAACAGCCCCTTACCAGAAAGTGCCTCTTCCAGGAGATAAGGGAAGTAGGTATTGTTTATCAGAGATCTGCAGGGCCTCGTACCAGACTCACATCAACTAGGGTCAACAGACTGAGCACAGCCTTCCTGAGACCCCTGCTGGTGCCCAGCTTCCTGGGGTCAGTCACCTCTTGCCTCTCCCATTTCCCTTCCCTTCACATAAAAGAAACCCAAACTCTGTACTTTCTTAAGACGGATTTGAGGTTGAGTCTCCCACCTTCTCGGTTGGCGCCTTCCCGACCAATAAACCTTTCCTTCCTCCAAATGCTGATGTTTTGATTTCAAAGCATCGGGCACACGGACTTTGGTCTGGTAACAGTTATACAAAGAGTTTGGGGGGTAGATGAAAACACAGACCTCAAAGGTATATTTTTATGAAGGTTGCTCTGAAAACAACAGTTGTGAAAAGAGTGAAGCTCGGTGAATGGACCCTCCCCCCCGCTGGAGGCCGTGGGTGACTTCCTGCTCTGTGGACCAAGATCCAGTGGGAAGGTGACATCTTCCAGGATCCTTCTGATTTTCTCTCCTCCACTGTCACCCTCTGTTGCAAGCATCGGTCACCGTTGGCTGTCCCTATTCAGGTTTCACACCTCCCTGGGGCATGTCGCTGGGCCGCTGGGCTCACCTCAGGTAACACCGGGTGGGTGAGCTCATTTAGGCCTGGGCCAGAAATAGAGTAGGCATGTCAATTAGTAGCTGCTGTGAGCCCGGGCCAGCAAATTGGCTGGCCTCCCTGCAGGCAGACTCAGAGGGCCGTGGAAAATTCCACAGCAATGCTCCTCTACCAGGGGTAGGCACTGTGAGGGTGCCCCTGCCCCAGCTTTCCTCCTGCTTGTCCAGAGGCCAAGGGCCAGAGCACTGAAGGCGGGGGAGGCACAGACCCCAGAGATCCTGATTCAGTGGGCAGGGGCAGGGGCGGGGTGGGGCTGAGAACCTGCAGCTTCCACACCCTCCCCAGGTGGTCCTTGTTCTGCCCGGGAGACGTGGGGGTTCTGTTCGTGCTGTCCCTCCTAAAGTCTGGGGTCCGGACCTGAACCTGCACTGCACCTGGGCCTGGGGCCACCTGCTCACTGCCCCTCCCCAGAGGCCGGCTGACCAATGGGTGCTGGGTGAGACTCGGCACAGAGCTGGGCGCTGTGCCACTGCTATTAGTCAGTCTTTGCGTTTGTCCAC